TTCTGACTCCTGAAGACAAATAGGCCCTTATCTAAAATCCAGAAAGGGATCCATTTGTAATCTGCACCTGCTTTACATCCCAGCACTTGCTTGGCACAAGGCAATGAAAGCTTGTCTAGTGTTACTGTGAGCAGCCTTCATTCCAACAGAGATGAAACATAAATATTCAGAAATAAACTCGTAAAAAATGATGAGACATTTTAGACTTTTGACACATCTGACTAAAAAGAAAAACAGTTTCAACTCCATTCCCACATTAGCAAATAAATAACACACATACTTTGTTGTGAAACAAAGGGACCACAGTAGTGAGACTGAAAGCTACAAACTGCTCTGAAGTGGCAGAGAACCAAGTCACCTACTGACTTGGCAAGGCCTTTGTTTGTTTGTTTGTTTCTTAAGAGCAAACAAACAGGACATACAATTAACAGCACAGCAATGACATGGGGCTGCCTCCCTTTGGATGCTAAGATGATGACCCTTCAACCCTTCAATTCTTTGCAGTTTATATTTAGGGTTTAGTTTTGTATTGGTACGAAATGTAAGTTTCCATTTCCTGGTACGGTAATTTAAAAGAGGAGGAGCTGGGAAAAAGAATCCTTAAATCAATCTTTAAAATGAGTTAAGGATCAACACCAGTGATGTTAGTCATAAACACATGATAGCTCTACAACTTAGTTTAAAAAAAAACAAGTGGTGAGTTTTTTTCCTAAAAAGGAAAACAACAACAAGAACTAATGATATTTGCCCTTTAGATGTTATTTTGTAGGTGCCTGTTCTTATGCTGTGGGCAGAGCTGACTTGAAAGCAGTGGAGTACTTAAACCCTTAAAACACTCCAGACTTTTTGCCTTCATTTTTAGAGTCTCTGCTTACTTAGATTCTACCTTTTTTTTTTTTTCTTCCTGAAATGCAGTCATTGGGCAAAGCTAGACCAAGATTCTCCACAAAAACCTAGTTGCCCATCCTCCCAAGTCCTCCTAACTACCAGCAGGTCTCTCTGCCTGTGAAGATAAAACAAGAAGACAAAAAAAAAAAAAGCCATTATACTAGTGTCTTGATACCTCTTAAATCCCCAAGGTTACCAAACAAACGTATAGCAAGTAAACTGAAAATTATCCTTTTCCTAAATTCCCTCAATCTGCAATTATCCTGCAATTTCCTTTTATCATTTGTGTGTACAAATTGTTTACAAAATGATCAAGTATGGTCACAATGTTCCATTTAAAACTGCCTAGTAACAATTTGGCCGTGAAACTGAAAAAAAAAAAAAATCAGAAAAAACGCCAACAGAATCAGAAGAGCCATTGCTCAAGCAGTTTTAATCCAAACCAGAAACTCCAATTTCAGTGACTCATATTTTCAATTACTTTCTGAGGTTGGAAGGCAGTGGGCTACCTAACAGAATGTTTTTAATATATGGAAAAACATCTTTGCTTCACAGCCTCTACAAAATGAGTGGGGCAGTTTTTAGTTGAGATTCCAGATTCAGAGTACAAATCACAGAAGTGGCACTGAAAGTCGAACCATTTGGTAAAGAAAGGGCTTGAAAACAGAATCATCTTCGCACATCTCAAATGCTGGTCATTTTAGATTAGCAGAGATGTCCTTCGGCAAAACAGTCTGGGTGAACACATACCCTGTCTCTAGATGTATCTGACTTTGCACTGTTGTTTTTTTCCCTCTTGGATATCAACTATAGCCCAAAGTCTTTCACCCCAGTTAACCCTAATTTCTTTCACATCCACAAAAAGGAAGCCAAGCTCACTTTTGTTCTGTCATGAAGTTTCATTTCTGCAGATGATCTGCTGCTTTTCCCTTGAAGGCAAGCAGTTTCACAGCTTCTGTTAAATGTGACCAGGACGAAAACTAGAAGCAAGGGCAAAAATCTTGAGGTATCTACAACGATGGAGTAGGGATCCCCCATCAAAGTTAGCAGGAAAATGGTTCAAACCCTACCCGAACAGCAGAGAGAGGCAACAGAGCTCTTGGCTCAAAGTGCAAGGTGGCTTAGGAAAATAATTTTAGAGAAAAGGGGCCAAGTTGCTCCGTTAGGGAGGAAATACTGAGTCATGTAAGTCCTAGAGCTATACACAGCTTTTGGTAACTTCAGCACAAGCATAAACTGCTATCAGAAGATTTGAGAGAAATTCAGTATCCTTCTGAGGTATGACCACAATGAGAGTTTTGAGGCTTTTATGCTACAGGTACCTTAGCCAAAGGCCTTAAGAAGGGAAAGTTCAGGCTATAAATACTAATGAGGAAAAGATCAAGATGTCTTTCAGCCAGCCAAACAATCAGTGCAGAAGAGTCGGGATCCTTCCACCTCTATTTTCTGCACATTTCTGACATATCAGAACGCAGTATAAGGCAACATCAGTCCCCCTCTGCTCCCATCTAACTAAAGATGGGCATTTTCTTTTTTTTTGATACAAACAAGAAAATCTTTCTCCACCACAAAATATTTTAAACATCTCATAAAATGACGTAGCATTCCTTCTTTCATTTAGGGAGGAGAAGCTAACTGTCTGCTGCAGTTGGCAGGAAATTCCATTGACAATAAAATAAATAAATCAATCAACGGTCTCAAAAGCCTATGATTCAATTATATGGGTTACAAAGAGCTTGGATTTGACAGCCAAATGTGTTCTTCTCTAAGATTTATCTGTGAACTTTCAATTAGAGAAATGAAGTGGAATAAATTACTCAGTGAAAATGAAGGTATTCGGAAGGAAAAATTAATTAATTCAGTATGGCATGACACAAAGACTGTCTGGTGGCCATAAAAACAACAGAAGCTACACCACTCAAAAGTAAAAACGAGGGAGGAAAGCTGCCTTACTGCTTATGGGTCTGGCAAAAGCTGCAAACTCTCTGGGCTGAGAGCAAATGCAGAGATAGAACTCTCTGAAAGCAGCAGGTAGCTAGGACTTAGCCAGAGTATCATCTAGAATGTATTGACAAGGGCTAGGAGAAACTCTACTTCTCGGTTACTGTGAATCAGCAATGTGAAACAGTTCCCTCTAAACAACCTAAAAAAACTGTTTTCTGTGCATTTTGGAACACTGGCATTTTTGCCTGGGATCACTTGTGCTTCAAAAGCTCAGTGACAAAGAGCCAGATTTAAAAAAAAAAAGAAAAAAAGACAGATTATACAATAAGACTGTTAAAGTCTATGACAACAGGCCTTGAAGATTTAAAATCCATGTTAAAGATTTTCTGCAGATGGAACATAGCATCACAAGGTCAAATGATACATTTGCTATTAAGGAAATCACAAGGTAAATCAGGAGATTTCTGTACTGCGATAAAAGAATTTAAATATTAAATGATACTAGGGAGCTATGTCAGAGTGACAGGTACTTACATTACAATTGGAAGACCCATCAAATGTTGAGTAAGAACCATCAGGCCATTCTGTAGCATCTACAGTGCTCGACTGTCTGTGCTGGGCTTCATACTCCTTCAGCTGAAATGTGAAAAGACAGAGAGAACATTTTCCAGTGAGAAGCAGCCATCAATCTTCATTAAAATAGCAAGAGTTAAGGTACCTTCAGGTTTTTTCCCCAGTATCATCATGGAAGTGGGGAAATCAGAACTTTTGCATTGCATGCCTCACTTGTTCAAAACAGATTAATTTGTTTTAGAGTCACAAGTTTTAACAATGAATTTTTTTTTAAAGGAAATGATATGTAAATATTGAATTTTGATGATATGTCACTGGCAAAATATAAATTACACAGAGGAACAGTTTACAGCAGACAGACTAAATCACAATAGTCTGCCAATTTCCTTCGTAAAGAAAATGAACCACAGTAAAGACTAGGAACCATCTTCTATAATTTTGAAACACAAGACCATCTTTCCCATTTTCCAATAAAAGGCTTAAGACATAAAACCAACCCTACTGATGTCAATCTGTTGAGAAGATCATCAAGAACTGACAGTGATTAAAAAACAGTTGCTGCAAATAGCTCAGACCACTAGAGGGAAACAGTACCAGTACATATATGAACCATACAGATCAGGTATGACCCTCCCCCCACCAAATTTTTAACAGCAGAGAAGTAAAAGAATTCCCAATATTATCACTTGGTAACTTTAAAATTTTGCATTTTTTTTCATTATATGATTCACAGCAAACCAATATTTTCTTCAGACAATAACGTAACTTTATATTCTAGGGAAATCTATTTCAAGATGTATTATGTCAGTATAGAAACTCACCTGAGTGCCAATTCATGATCTAAATCATGTTTTCTGCACCTCTAATGGAGCCCATACAGAATACCCTGTGTTCCATCACAGTATTTTGCACAAGCGTATAAAATCAAAAGTGGTGTGGAAATTTCAGATCAGACCTTTGGGGTCCTGAGCAATTAAAATCTCAGCCCTATTGCTGCGCTAATGCCATACCTTAGTTATTTTTCTTGTGGTTTATTAACATTTAGACTTTGTAAAGAAAGACTTGTGACAGCCGCTGTACTTATCAAAAAATACATCTGTGTTGATTTTAATGTCAGATGTCAAAAACAGCTGAATATGTTTTCTTGAAGGCTATTAAAACAAAATCACCTTTTTAGCTAAGAAACAAGCAGAAAAAAATTTTAGTGTAAACATTAGTATTTTTTAAAGTTTTAACTGCTGAAAATGGAAGCCTTCAAACTGCCCTTCAGCCATTAGCAGCAGGAAAATTGTAAGAAATATATGCATTCTGAAACAAATAAGGCAAGTGCAGCAAAATTTAAAGCACTCCTTTTAGTACTTCAACAAACCTATGAACATACATGATAAATAAGGGCTAGGACAGGTGAGACTCCTCTCCCTTACTTTAGACAGCTGAAATGAAAATGTCTACACTTGAGCTTTTTCTCTGATTGTCTCTTTACTGCCAATGGAGAGAAGCAAATGCTTTTAGGACTCAATTAATTTACTAGGCACAGGACATCTACTTTTGGTTGAGCTAAATCTCAGTTTTCCCCATAAACAAAGGAATTGCTGATTTATCTAATTTATGTTACCTAGTGTGATGGGACAAACCAGCAGGCTTTCTCCCCCTTCTCCTATGTTTCCTGAGAAAATGAAAACTCCAAATTGGTATATCCTACATCCCAAAACACGCTTCTCCAGGAAAGTAGGGACATATCATACCCTAGCAAGTGCTTCCTCAATGGTGATCATCTTCTCTTTGACCATCATCATCAGCTGGATCCGTTCCTCGTCGCTCATCGTGATCTCACTGGCCACGTACCCTACATCCTCTCCTTCGGCAAAAAGCAGAGAGATAACAAGCCCATGTTAAGAGGCCATGCACAGAGAAGGGTATGCTGAAACTGGATTTTACCCAGTGCTCTGAAATCTGGTCTCCACGTGGATCTGGCTGGCCAGAAAGAGACCTTCTCCAGAGCGGGCTCACAGTAAGATTTCAAAGGACTGAATGATTTGGAAGTAACTGAGCAAGAAAAGGAAGTAAATTAGGGCTAGAAAACTAAGTCTACTTTGACACTGGAATCACACAGTTATTGACTGAAAGACAAGAACCAAAAGAGAAAGTGCTAATGCATAGAAGTCCTGCACTTGGCCCTGAGGAATACTACAGTCCGCTCCCAGAGCGGATGGGAAGTCTTTTCAGGAATGGCATGCTGGGCTCTTGCAGGTCTCTGCTGCAGACTGGCCATATCCCCTGATCTATCCAGGCTAGCCAATGGGCCACTGAGCTGTCACATGGTGCTGGATGCATTCGGGTGCTCCGCTTCAGGACCTCTCCTTTTGGTATGTGCTTGGCATGTCAGCACGGACAATTAGGACTTGCCTTGAGAGCCAGCAGGGCCCCATGCTTGTGCTTAACTGAGAGTGTAAACATTCCCCTTTTCAACCTCCTAAGTGGGCTCCTGTCAGCTTTCACAATCTGTCTGAACACAGATGTAGTGACGTGGAGAAGCATCTGTTTGCAACACAAGGATCTAACAGATACACATGGGGAAACAGAAATTTTCTGTGTGAAGAAAATACTTGAAGCAACGCACAGCTGCGTCTTTTGGAGAAGAACTAGAGAAAGACACCTGACAGTTTAAGTAGAATCGATCCTACATTTGCACTAGTCACCAGATGCACTTTTACTACTCCTTCTTGTACTGTCTTCTACAAGAGGCTGGATTCAAGCTTAAGGCGAACACGTCAAAGTAACCAAGTGCCAAAGAAAGGAGAAACATCCTTCTAATTAAAACAGATCAGCATTTTTCTCACCAAGTCAGGATCAGGAAAAAAAAAAAAAGCATCTTGTTCATTTACAGGTATTACTTATAAATATAAATTAAACATAATACTTTGCACGTGTGCCATCACTGACAGTACTGAAGGTGTCCCAGCCTCACGCCTGCATGTCTGTGTGACTCGTCTTTCTGAGCCCTGTCACGATGAACCAAACCTGCGACACTTCCAGATCCACAGACCTCCAACTGCCACAGCGCTGCAAATGAATTTTACTCCTCTGTGATGCTGGTTCCTTCTACTTTACATGGATCGGTTGTGTGTCTTAAAAGAAGATTTACCTTTCGAAGTCTGCCTTATTAGTCCTTTCTGGTTCTTTCGGAAATTCTGCCAAAAAAACTTGTTTTTCTTTTTCCAGTCTGCTTTCCCTGAAGGAAAGTGGGAAGGGAGGATGAGGGGAAAGGGAAAAAGAATTTCAGAAAGAAACATTAGTTAGTAAATGCTAGAGAAGCTTTCAAGCGTTAAGTTGTATTTTCCAAGTCAAAAACCAAGAACAAAAAAAAAAATCTCAAATTCTCTGTTTTTCTCGTTTTACTCCGTACTAGAAGTATGCTGATGTGGCTATTTCATAGAAATCTGCATTCTTTTATAATTGCCAATGCTATAGAAGACTGAGATAAGCCAGTAACTTACATATTTCGAATTATAAACAGAAAATATTCTACATTCATTTTTGTATCTGTTGAGCTGTTAATGTCAAGTCTGGAAGTGTTTTTTGAAGTATTTTGTTGGTTTATTCTCTGTAACTGAACCACAATTATGCAGCCTAAGCCACAACTCAGATAAGTAATTTTCTACTACGTATGTCGATATCTATACAGAAAATAAATACTTTCCATATATATAAATGCACACACACATGTACAAACACACACACATATTCTGTGATTCTGTGATTTTGCTGCTTGGCATGAGAAATTTTTTGAGACCATCCACTAAATCTGATTCTTTCTCTCTCTGTGCCTGGACTGTACAAGGCTGGATCTCCATGTCCATTAATGTCCGAGCTGCATATAGCTTGATGACCAGAAGTAAATAATTTGTTCAAAAAAAAAACCATCCCGGGATCTGGCTCAAGGTAGGGCATTTAACTGTTCTGTTGAATTAACCAGGGCACATGCTGTAAAGTTTCTGCCACCTGCAAGAGAACGTACTGTGCCTGATCTGTCAGAAGTGCTACTGACAAAGGGCCACTTCATTCCTCTGCTTTTGAAAAATTCAAAAGAACACAGTTTATACTGTGCCACTGAGTTTCAGCATGCGACTATGGCATTTTGGATCTCACCCTCAAAGACCTAGAGCTGGGTTTACCAACTCTCTGAAACACAACTTAAGTTTAGACTGTGTGGAAATGTCCCTAGAAAAACATTAAAAACAAAAAACCCTCCCAGTTTTTCTTCTCCTCTGCAATGAGCAAAATAAAATTTGTCCAGAATTGTATCAGCTCAACTAGTAAGTCAGAATGGCAACACGAACTAATTTTTGTAAGTTAAAAAAAAAAAAAAAAAAAGGGAAAGACAATGGAAAACAAATACTTATTTAAGAATGCAAAATATTTCAGAAACAAAGGAAGAGACTCTGGCGTCACATGAACAAAAATAACAAAAAACCCAGTTACTCACTGGTGGTGGTAATTTTCAGAATACAAACCAATAGGCTAGCGGTGATCTAACATGTAGACATTTGAAATTCAATATAACAAGTCAAAAGATGTCTATTTATCACATGACAACACCGGTTGGGCAGTCTCAGTGACCACTGAGACACCCAGCATCTAACTGAAAGCTACTGAGACTCACCCTCCTCAGACACACAAATGCTGCTGACTTCTGCCAGCACTGTATTTCCTCAGCTCTTCACATCCCAGCACAAGCAAAACTCAAAATCTGTTTAAGAATTCCATAGGAGTATCAAATAAAATTAAATATACTGACCTACAGAGCCTTCTTCCGAACTTGATTTATGAATGGAGAGCCTACAACAAAAAAAGAGAAATGGACTTATTGATGCAGCCTTCTTACATTTCATGGGAGCTGTCTGATTACAGTAAATTATAGTTTCCAAACAATATATCATGAGTTGTTTTCTCTTCCCTTTTCTTCTCAACACAGCAAGTTGGAAACAAAAACTGAACCCACTGGTCTGACCACAGTAACTGAGTTCCCCTCTTAACATGCCTTTTGTGACCAGCATAGAAAAACATATACAGACAGAAACCTATGGTTAAGGAAAAGGAGTCTAGGGATCCCTCAGAAAAACACTTTTTCACGTACTTTACCCCTTTCCATTTGTAAAACAGCAATCTGGCTGCCTTAGAAACTGTAGCACTGGGATGCTGTATTTGTTTAGCTGTCTAACAGTTTTTGGCCTATTTGATTTATAAATATACACTCATTAAAGTTTCAGAAGCCACTGTGGGGAAGGAAGGAGTAGAGATTTAAAGACAAGGTGAAGAAAGCTTGTCCAGATCCTATGAAGACTGGAGACTACAGCTGCTTTCTCTCGAGTCCCTTCTGCGTGCTTTCCCACCAGTGTATACTCCCTCCCTCAAACGCTAGCTGGAGAGACTTACTTTAACAGAACATGGACTTTACAAACAACCCACTAAACCAGTAAGTAAATCTTTTGTTCTTGGTCTTTATGTTCATTGAACCAGTTTTCCATAATGGATTCCAACTCAGTGCCAACGGTTCATTGTGGGACCTCTGATGAGGCAACATCACCGTGCTCTGTTGCCTTTTTTTTCTGTCTGTATAAATGGAGCTAATAGAAATTACCAAATCTTGTGCTATTCTTTGAAGCCTTCCTATGGGAATTGCTATTTAACCACGCTGCGCCAAGCCAGTGAAATGACTTCTGCCAGCTTCAATGGCTTTGCTGGAGGCTCCAGCATTACTGCAGTGTTTTTGCCGGGAGCTCGGCCCCGCGACATGACAATGTCCTATTGTGCGGTGGCTGTACTGCAGCCATGCAGAATGGAAACATGCGTACCCCAGCATACCAAGAAGACCTCAAGCCAAACCGTTCTTTGAATGAGGCCGTATATTAACACAGGCATGCCATACCCTGGTTGCTGTCCAAGTTGTTTGCACAAGCTCCTTGCGCTTTCTTAGGCCCCCAGAAGAGGGCAACAAAGAGTTTTTGATCAATTCAGTAAACCACTTGAAGGAAAACTTTAGTTCAAGTCAGATCAGAGTTTAGAAGTTGTAAGCAATTACTGGCCAAAGTTCTGTAAGCATGAAAAACATGCTCATCAATTTGCAAAGACATCAATAAAGGGGAAATGAGACTGTATGAAGTTTCAGTTTGATTTAGTAATTCAACTAGACAAGTAGGTTTGGCACAGTGAAACTCCGAAATATAACCTTCAACCTCAGACTGATTAGAAATTTAGTTCAGCACGAACTGCAAACTAATTGAAGCAACCAAATTTTAGATTTGTAGTGCACCAGGTGGAGGGAGACATTTAGTGTTTTCCTTGCTGATAAAGTTTACCCTTCAAAGGGAAATGTTAATGATATAGGTGATATGCCACCAAATGCTTAATTTTTAAGAAGCCTGAATAACAAATGCAGGAGAAAAAATACGTATCCTATACTTTCTGGGCAAAAACTCAAGAAAACCTGCTATCAACAGGGCCAGGATTTCATCCATACATTTAAAAGTAGTCAGTGAGTATTTTTCTAAATACAGGTAAATCAGATAAAAAGTATATGGACTTGTATATGGAATCAACCAAGTAAAAAGAAAACCAAGTTCTGTTGGAACCGACAGAATCAATCCACTAAGTTTTGCACCCGAGCACAGACCTCACCCATCAAGCAGTTATTCCATTTATCTTAAATGAATTCAGTATCCATGAAATGCACCGAATCACCATCCTTAGAAAATGAAATCTGTTAATGATCAGGACTCTGCCTCACTAGTGAAATCAGCCTCAAAGTGGAGAGGCAGTCCCTTGTGCTCTTCAGCCACCAAATCCATTTTAATCCTTTTCTTATCTTGTGCAGTTGCTAACAACGAGGCAAGTAAGTAGCAGGTGTAGCAGCAATGTTTGTGATGTGGACATCTGTTCACTGGGAATTAGCCTAAGGCCACCAACTCGCTGCACACTGGCCTCCAAAGAAGGGGAAGAGCAGTGGGAGCAAACCTCTGACATGCTTGCGCTAGAGGGAGTGAAGAGAAGAGTAGGCTCCACAGCAAGCAGACCACCTTCTCATCGATTTAAGAATGATGCTGAATTTCATCAGAGGATGCAAATTCCAATTATCATTTCATGCATTCCCTAAAGAGGAAATCTTCCATGCCTGGGCTGACCTTGAAAATGCTAACAGCTGGTCTGAAGAGATGGAAATGCCGACAAAACTTACCACATAGAGCCTGATAAGGCATTTGCTTTTTAGTTCCACCAGACAACTCTGATGCTTAAAAATCCTCAGTGAAATCAATCAAGCGTTTTACTTCCTAGGTGTCTGGTGAAAAATTCCAGAGTACCTTGGAGTTGCTGTATGTTTGATTTGCCAATTACACTCCCTTAATCTGTTAAATCTGCAGCTCCTCTGTGAACGTGCACTGCAAGTGATTTGTGTTCTTCCATTCATAGACTGATAACTTGTACTGAAAGTTAATGATGCAGTGACACTTGGCAGAAGTTTCAGCACTGCGTGTCTGAAAGGGAGCCAAATGCCATTACTCCACCGTGGAGGCCTTCATTTTTGTTGTGGTCTGATGTACAACTTCATTAGCAAGCTTTCACATGAAATGTACTCTGTCACAGCACATAGCGGAAGAAATGTATGGGTATATGTTCAGACAAGAAGGAATCAAAAAACAAAAAAAGATTTATGGCCAGAGGGAAAGACTACTTTCTTATCAACCCATAATCTCTGGACTAGGACTGCATTAGGGGTCAAAACTTTAATCCATTAATCTCACAAATTCAAAACTATCTCCAGGCTGATACGTCAGGCCTCTTGGAGCCAAACTGCTGAAATAAACAAATGAGGAAAACCCCCAAAACACAACAGATAATCTAGAAACAGAGCTACTTTTGGGAGTAACCAAATATTACTTCCTCAGAGACACAATGGGCTTCAGCAGACTTTAGTAAATTACATCAGACAACTCAGTGATCAGTGACACAAAATTTAGTAGCAACAGCCAGAGTGGAGAACCTGGACCAGGAACTAGCTGATTAGAAGGACTAGCTTAACGGAAATGAGTTTGCATTTAACGCTAAAATGTGCAAGTACACAAAAAGGACTTACACAGAAGTCAGTCTTTCCAACTGTACCTGGGGATACCAGCTGGGAAAGAATGACTGAGGAAAAAATCAACACGTTCATCCTAAAAGGCATAAGGATGGGAAATTCCAGTGGCAGTTCAAAGAATGAATATATATGGGAATAGCTGTACAACTGTCATTACTTATGCTCAAGAAAGATGAATTCAAACCCAAAGCGGTAAGGAGAAAAGCTATTAAAATGGTCAGGGAACTGGACAGCTTATCTTATGAGAGAAAGCTAGAAAAGTTTTGCCTGCTCAGTCTGTTACTAGTGAAAGCTGCAAGAAGATTAATTTACCGCCTATTAATAAATCAGGCACAGGAACAAGTAGACATAAGCTGGAAAAAATTAGAAAAGAAGAGCTAACATTTCCTAAATACTTGGACAACCTTTCAACAATAGGTAGAAAAAGGGAGGGCAGCTTTAAAAACTAACTAACTGTTTTTAAGAGCGTCATTGAAAGATAGAGACCAAACCTCTTTGACAACAAAGATCTGGACACGAGGACTGCCTCTGGAGGGCACTTCTGGTTCTTCTTTTGCAGCCTGTGGGTTTTGCGTGAACGCCAAAGCCATGCATCCAAAACAGTTTTTGAGTCCGTCTTTCCATAAAAGTGCTGCAGTGGGGATGACCTTGCTATACCTAAGCAATCCCTCCCTTTTATAAATTAACCCTTGACTCCCAGAGGTGGGCTCCAAAACTTGGGAGAGCATGGAAGAACCAATGCACACATTTGTGTCACAAGCCAGCCGAGACTGTTATCTGATTCTTAAGATGGGTTTTAGCTAGGCTGCATCAAGCTACTAGGCTACAGCTTTCCCTGTTAACTCTGGACTGATTCTGATCTCAGACAGAAAACCGCTGAGGCTTATCTCACATACAGAGCCGTTGATTTTACAAGAGACACAGTCATAGTCATACATGCCCTGAGATGTGAGTGTGCTGGTACACGGCCGAACTGCGAAAGGGAACAAATGACACCATGTGCTGCTTTCATGAACGTGCCTGTTGATTTTTGAAAGCTCATCATTCTTGGAACAGAAAGCAGGGGAACGTAGAATGACAGGATTTCTGATTTTTTTTTTTTTGTTTCAACACTAAGTACTTTAAATGCAGATGTGCTGTAACACATGTCCACATCTCATTTATGGGCCATAAAATCCACAGGTGCATAGCACCATCTGATAATGAAACCACTACTGTTTATGATCTTCAATAAACTGATAGTGGCCCTCTTATTCCTTCCCAATGACTATTTATAGCCCATTGAGGAAAATGCTTTGGACAGGATTTTCAATCTACAAATATTGTGCACATTCATAGCGGAGAATAAACCGATGCAAAAGCCTACACTGGCTCCTCTGCAAAGCCATTTGGTTATCTGCGTGCATTAGAAATGGCCCAGTCACATAATTAGTATGAAAAACTGACAGACTTGTAACTGCTCCTGACTGAATACAAGATAATTTATCTAACTGGAGCTGGCAGAGGGAAGAAAACGGGCTTTTGGTATTTTTATCAAATTTGCATGAACCTGAAGAGAAAGCAGGCCTGCAAGGTTCTGACCTTGCTGGCACCAGTGTGAGAAAGGGATGGAAAGCAAAGACGTTTCATTCAATTATCTTCTCATTAGGTTTCCATAGCAATGGCTCTTTAAGCAGGTCAAAACTTTCTCAGTAGAAACAAACAC